CTATCAGTATAAGAGAAGTCTTCTACCAAGATCCGAATGTTTTGAAAGTAGTCTTCTACCAAGACATGTATGTTTTGCTGTAACAAAGATGGTTTTCCCTTTTATGACTACTATTAACAATATATAGTCTACCTCTTCATTTATGTGAATGTAACACAAAATAAAAGTAATAGGGAAAATATAACCATAAAAGTATTATCCTTTTGCATTAGGATAAACGCGACATCGCGACTACCGAAATGTATAACCTTGAACATTCGTAGATTGTTCATTTTCCTCTGTAGCTACCAGCAGGTTTAAGGAATGGTTAGTCCCATAAAGGTACTCCTAATATAAGTATTAATCGTAGGCATCCGTAGATGTTCATTACCTCTGTTGCTAACAGGTGGGTTCCGAAATGGTTAGTCCCATCAAGTTATCCTTTTGAACTAGGATAAGCAGAACAATTTACACACAATGTACTAGTAACTCATCATAGTAAATCTAGGTACAAGTATCTATGTAAGTGTATACAAATAAATGCATATATGTAAATGTATTCATGTAAGCGTATCGATGTAGACGTATTGATCTAACATGTAATGTATAGTATAGACTCGTGAATGAACTGACTCTGGTGTAATTCCTTGTAATAGGAATAATGTTTTGTATCTCCAACTATCCCTATAATAGTTAACTGGAAGGTAATTGATTGTCCAAGCAAGTTTATACACCCTTGTTACATAAGAGTGTGGGAAACTGAATGAAGGATGAAAGCTATCATATCAATACATATATAAGAACATAAGTGTATAGATATAGTTTTGTTCAAGAAAATGAAAATGGTTTTGTAAGACATTTAAGAGTTTTGAACAATAATTAACAATGACTTGATGTCATTTTAAATAACATTTCAAAAATAATACATTTGATAACAAAGTATTTTTAAGATAGAAAACCTTTTCATACATCAGATTTTGAAGCATGTGAAATCAGTTGGATGAAAACACAGTTATAAATCACATGCGATTGGTTCTATAGCATGCTGTTTTCTACTTGTATTCCCCCCCCCCCCCCCATTAAAGTATCTAAAAATATTTGAAAACATTTAAAAGGTTAATTTAGGGGTATGAACTCACCTGTAGTGAGTGGATTGGATTGAAGTGTCAGATATGATGCTAGGTGACAAGTGGAGACTTGTACACACACAACGACCCTAGTTATCATATAATCAATATATAAAGAACTAATTAGGCACTTTATCTCTAATAATTTAAGTTAAGACACTCTAGAACATGGTAACACTTTGTTTCAAGTGTTACGGTCGTAAACCCTTGAGTTTGGGGTTCAAGCAAAAGGGTTTACGGTCGTAAACCCTTGGGTTTACGGTTGTAAGCTCACCCCCTTTGTGACCATTTGTTGTTTGAAGCTTTCTAAGCCAATCCAAGCATTCCTACTTCATGTTTAAGCCTAAGGAAGTGTTGTGTGGCATCAAAACACTCCTAAATGGAGTTTACAGTCTATGGACCATTTCTCCATGAGTTTACTACCTTAAACTCTCATGGACTTGGGTATTTTGGTGTTTTCAAGTCCTTAGCTCATCATGGTACTAGTCTAGGTTAGATTTTAGGCATTAGAAGTAAATATGGGACATTTAAACACCTTTTGGGGTGTTTACGGTTTTGGGAGATCCCCAAACCATAAACACATATAAATGTGAGGTTTTTGTGATTTTTGTGTGATAAACTCATCAAGGATGGATCTAGACAAGTCCCTAAGGCATTGTGAAGCATCTAGGAACCCTAAGGCACCACTTTCGCCCTATTCTTGGTGGTTACGGTTTTAGGAGCCTCCCAAAACCATGAACACCTTGTTTTTGGTGTTCTTGGGACTTTTCTTTGATATTAATATGTATATCAAGCTTTAAATGACTCTAGGATAGAAGTACTTACTCTGTGGAAGCTTGAAATGAACTTAAAGTCCAAGAACATTAGTGTGTGTTCTTGGTGTTTTGGAAAACTAGTCAAAACACATAAATGGATGGATTAAAGGATGTATAATCACTAGATCTTATGATATATCAACTAATCAAGTCGAGAAAGATTTACGTTTTCGGGAAATCGGGCGAAAACCGGGATGATACTTGAGAGAGTTTGGAGTTTACTCTTTTAAGGTGAAAATGAGAAGTGATGCACTTTGGGGAGTAAACTCATGCTTAAGCATGAGTTTACGTTTGTGGGGGTAGTTCACGGCCCAAACATTAAAGTTTGGTTGTGAACTTCTAAGCTACGTGGTATTTGCGGTTTAGAAATTTCAAGATCCGAGACGGCACATTCTTTCACCCGTTCATTTAAAGATTAATTATTATAATAATCAAACGAACTTTAAATTTGTTAAAAACAAATAGAACTGAAATTGACTTATAATATGAAGTAATTGGTTTTAGGATTTGACCGAATGAAAATTTCGAGTTGTCACAGAGCGTACGCCTTGCGTACCTCCATGTATGTCCCACGTACGTGGGTGCCTTCGCGACCAATCTACCGGGCCAATACACCCCATGTACGCCAAACATACTTGGCTATGGACTAAAATGCAAGAGTTTTAAGGTTAAAGGAAAAAGGAAAAATACCTGAAATGCAAATGTTACACCTATTATTATCATCGGTATTTGAATGGGAATATAATATTCCTAACAAATGTATATGTTACCGTTAGAAGCACTGCAATTTTCCGCTTAATGTATGGATGGTTTATGAGACCCAAAGAATCTCCACCATCCGAGTCCCACAAGAATTTATTAACATTATCACTACTTGAATTGATAGATATCTTTACTAACAAATGTATATGTTATAGTGAGAAACACTATAGCTTTCCGCTTAAGGTATGTATGGTTTATAGGACCCAAAGAATCTCCGCCACCTGGTTCCCACAAGAATGTATTAACATCATCATTATTTGAATGGGCGGATATCCTTACTAACATAGGCATCAATGAGTTATTCTTAGATGGTTCTCTTGGTATAAATTCCAACTGCAATAATGCCCCCATGCAGGCCACGTGGCTCTTACTGTCTTTAGTTGTGATTAATTTGATCCTAATATTTTTGCTCACGTAAGTAAAAATCTTGCTAATAATTTTGTGGTGCCCACCGTTGATTCTTCCTTTTTGTTTTCTTGTTGAAAGTTGTCAACAAACACATCATAATCAACAAACTACATCAAATTATAAACACAATAAAACCATAATAACATAAAACTTCAGTAACAAAATTGAAACTATAATAAATAGTATCACAAACTTGGAACATTGTGTGTTTCAACACAATAGTTGATTGAAATAAAAATTCTTAACAAGTTACTTGAGTATCTTCATTGTTATCAACCCATTTGTCTTCCGGTACTTTTCAACTGGATGTAGGTGATTGATTTGAAGTTTAAGTTGGAGTGAATCGATTTGCATGATCACATAAGAAGGAAGAAACAAATGAGACAATAGGACGATGTCGATGTGGATGTGGATTTGCTTTTGTGGTCGAGAGTGGAGACAATAGGCACTCGATGTTTATTTATTTGAGTCACGTACATAGTCCACAAGGTCAAGCATGGGGCAAAAATATAAAGGCGTTTTAAATTCTAGTTCTGGATATAAAACCCGATTTACACGGTGACTGATCTCAATTTCATCCCTAATTGCTATGATAGTACCATAACATTTAAATTTGTGAGTCATTATTGTAACGGGATTATTGAATTCGCAGTGTACAATCAACCAAACATGTTAGCTACAAAACATATTTGTGTCAAACTTTTTTGATTCGGTTTACAGCATCTTGATTGGTTTTCTGTAGCATTGACATTCTATAAAATAACACTTGTATGTATAAGAAAATAAAACCTATTTGGGTTTTATGGGATGACTTTGACTTTGATGAGCATGTGAAACTAATTAAGATGCCTTAGTGAACTACGAGGAAATATAATATGAGATGACTTATTTGGAGATGGTACTCATGGAAGTCAATGTAGATAGAAAAAGGATCGCTTCGTATTGCAACTTACGTCAACATGTTGAGATTTTTTGAAGCCTCGATTTAAAGTTTGTCATCTTTCTTATCTTAAAGTCTGGTATCTTAAGTAGGGGTCGGTCCGGATAACATTTCAACAATTCTGTGGACCATCTTTTGTAAGTTCCGTAAAAAACTAATATCTTAATTCTTCAATATTAATTATAAACACTACCATCAATTAAGATAGAGATATCCAAACTTTTAACTAAAATGATTTTAGAAATAGTAAATAATTCAGTATATTAGGGGTGACATTTTGATAGTTTGACTCATTTCATTTCAATTACATGCTAACCAATATTATAAATAAAATGATTTTAAAGATGGTGAATAATTCAGTCTATTTTGGATGACATTTTGATAGCTTGACTCATTTCATTTTTATTACTGTACATGCTAACTTAACTTACCTATTCGCGACCCATTAAAACGTACATATAGCGGTAGGAACTCTTTTTTATTGAAATGGGTTAAAACTGACTCATTCTACCGATTTGGGTTCACAAACTACCCTACAACTTCAATTTTCTAAAGACTATAAACCTCCTTTTTAGTTTTTACCTCGCCCCTTGTCATAGGTAATACTAAAAATTTGCTTCACTAAATGCTTGCGATGCAAGAGTCGCGATTGGTGCCATTCTAATTGTTCGTTAATTAACATTGGTGGAGTATCTGACAAGCTGGATTCTGTTTGTAGAAACTAGAAAGTGTTGCATGTGCCAGGGATGCCATATATACACTAAAAGTAGTATGAAGGGGTCTGAAAGATACCTTGAACTGAAGGTACTTAATTATTCCTTTATAGATTATGGAGGTTCATGCATTCATTTAACTATATATATGGAGATTATCAGTGTCAATAAGCACCAATTGTCCAATTCAATACATTGATAACAATTCAATATACCTTTCCATTACAATCTTTTAGAGTTTTAAGTCTGGGCTGCAATGGCTCAGTCAATGGTTTGTCATGTTATGTTAGTTGTGATATTCATACTGGTGGCTCTTACTGAGGCACAAACTCCACCAGGAATTAACAACCCTAGCCATGCAACTTGTAAGGACCCGAGTTACAAAGAATGTCATAACTTGGTGCATGTTTGTCCTAAGTTTTGTCCAGATAGCTGCACTGTTGATTGTCAATCGTGCAAACCTGTTTGTGGTGGCGACATTGCACCATCACCACCGGTGTACACACCTCCAACACCAACACCTTACTCACCACCTCCCACCCCTCCTTCTCCAGCAGTAGATCCCACACCTCCAACACCATCCTCACCACCACCCACCACCACCCCTTCACCACCAACAGAGTCCACACCTCCAACACCAACACCATCCACACCCTCTCCCACAACCCCATCACCACCGGAAGAGTCCACACCTCCAACTCCAACACCATTCTCACCACCTCCAACCACCCCTGCACCACAAAAAGAGTCGACACCACCAACACCATCCTCACCTGCACCTCCTACATGGTCAACTCCACCTTCGAAACCAAAGAAAGTCAAGTGCAAAAACAACAACTACACAAAATGTTACGCCTCCGAGCATGTCTGCCCTGCTTCTTGTCCTGGTCAATGTGAAGTTGATTGTGTTTCTTGCAAGCCAGTTTGCAGTAAGTTCTTCATAACTCTATGTTTTCACTTTCTATAAATGCTAAAAGTTCATATATGAGGAGAGTCATTTTGACATCAAATTACTAAAGTTTAATTCCATCATTTACAAATGAATACTATGGTTAAATATTACGTTTAAACAGCTATCATTGAATCTCATAAGTGTTTGTATATCTGTCTGGTAAATTATAGATTGCGATATGCCTGGAGCAGTGTGTCAAGACCCTCGATTCATTGGAGGTGACGGCATCACTTTCTACTTCCATGGAAAGAAGGATCAAGATTTCTGCCTTGTTGCAGATAACAACCTCCACATCAATGGCCACTTCATTGGCAAGAGAAACAAAAACATGGGAAGAGACTTTACTTGGGTCCAATCAATCGGGGTTCTTTTCGACAACCACAAAGTACAAATCAGTGCTCAAAAGACTTCTTCTTGGGATGACACCGTTGACCGTATCTCTGTCATATTTGACGGGGAAAACATCTTTCTCCCAACAAGCGAAGGTGCCAAATGGCAATCTTTTACGACATCAATCACTAGGATTCATGACACCAACCATATCGTTGTTGAAGTTGAAAACCTCTTCAGGATCACAGCCAAGGTGGTTCCAATAACAAATGAAGAATCACGAATCCATAACTATGACATAACCAATGACGATTGCTTTGCTCATCTTGATCTCAAGTTCAAATTCTTCTCCTTGAGTAACGAAGTGGACGGAGTTCTGGGACAGACTTATAGGAATAACTATGTGAGCAAGGTGAAGATGGGGGTGTTGATGCCTGTGATGGGAGGATATAGTAAGTTTGTGAGTACAGATTCATTTGCGACTGATTGTTCGGTTGCTAAGTTTAAGAGCAGCGAGGAAGACGGTTCCTTACTGAACTTGCAGTTGCCAAGCTTGAGCTGCCAAAGCGGTATAGATGGGCGAGGCGTCGTATGCAAGAGATAGAGCACTTTTCTTCTTCTCGTTATTACAATACTTATATTTTTACTACGACTTTAATGCATGGTGTAATAAAGAATTAATAATAAAATGATGGAAACTCCCAAGATAGTGGAAAGTATGACTTCCGTCCGTCATTATCATTTAAACATTGTTTCCTCATCTCTTGGCACATTGGTTTTGTATTTGAACTATACTATCACACTATTAATTAGAAAAGCATGCAAAAAAGAATGGACTAAGGGTTTGTTGTTTGGTCAAACAAAAAAATAGGTTTTGAAAGCTAGCTTATCACCCAAATTCTAGTTTTTCAGCTAATCTACGCTTAAGAGTCTCTAAGCAACGGAAGCTATCCCTTGATACCAAATCTGATGGAAAATATTAAAACAAAAGGATAGCTAGTAGTTAGAGATTATGGATAGCCAATTATGTATGATTAGCTTTCTGCTATTAGCACACTACAACAAAACAGACCTTCACCCACGACCCTATTTGTGGGTAATCAGTGGGTAATGGTCTTTATCCACGGATTATCCATGAAACCAGATTCGTGGGAAAAAGCTCGTGGGTAATATTTTCCCACGGATTACCCTCAGAATTACCCACAGATTATCCACGAACAAATTTACCCACAGATTTACCACAGACAGTTTACCCACAGAATTACCCACAGTTTATCCACGAGCAAAGTTACCCACAGTTTATCCACGACCACATTACCCACAGAGTATCCACGAGCAAAGTTACCCACAGCTTATCCACAACCTGATTACCCACGGGTTTTCCACGGCTCTATTACCCACATATTTTCCACGGATGTTTACCCACAGATTTTCCACATAATTGTTTACCCACGGATTTTCCACAAATATTCTTTTTGGGTGATTCCGTGGATAGTCTGTGGGTAACATAACAAATTTCAAATGTTATATATTTACAAATTGCATAAAATCCAAATTTTTACAGTTAATTTGAAAAAATATAATATGACCAATAAAGTTTCAACCAAATCCATAAACTTAATCTAGAAATTTTCAAATGTCAAATCCACAAAAGTTTCAATTCCCAAATTCATAAACTTAATCTATGGGCAGTTTCAAATACCAAGTTTCAAATGCCAAATCCACAAAAGTTTCAATTCCCATATCACCCTACACACTAATTGTTTGGCATGAATTTACTCCAAAGTTCTTCCATACGTTTTTCCATAGTTTCTTGACGTGCTTTGGATTCCTCACGTTCTTTTCGAAATTGTTCCAACTCTTGTTGATGGCGGGCTTCGGACTCTTCGAGTCGGGTTTGCAAGTCCCGTATCTAAAAAAATGGTAAATCAAACAATATTATCCATAATAGCAACATAGTTTACTATTTTTACCAAATATAGGAAACATATTTACCTTTATTATCCATAATGGCAACATATTTACATTTTCTATCAGTAATAGCAACCTACTTATATCTAACAACATATTTTTCTCATAACACATCACCAAGTTAATTTAACAAAGCTAAACATATTAATTTCAACCACTTTAACAATTTCACAAATCCTAAACATACCACTATAACAATTTAAACAACCAAAACATATATATGAACAATATAATAACAAAGAAAAATGTACCACTTTAATAACTTAATAAACCCTAAACATACAAATTTAAAATTTTAACTAACCAAAACATATCACCCTAATAGCAACATACTTACATTTTCTAACCATAATAGCAATATATATTTTTATCCTTAGTAGCAATGTGGTTTACTCTTTTTACCTAATACACAGGAATGTATATATATATATATATATATATATATATATATATATATATATATATATATATATACAGACACACACACCTTGAAACGACCAAACATACGCTCGTGGGTGACACTATCAACTTCGCTCCATGTAGTCCAGTGAGTAGTATAAAACATACGCATGATCAATGTGATCTGACGATGCACGGTAGGATCACTAAACCTACAAAATTAAAATAACAAATTCATTATATTTATAACGTCAATTATTTACATAAGATAAAAAAAAGTTCACAAACCCTTGATCAGTCCGCTCGATAAATTCCCTATGAGCTGGATTAGTTGGAGGCGTATCAGGGACATTTGAGCCACACCCAATGATGTCGTCATCTGCACCATCATCACCTTCCTCACCATATACACCATCATCACCTTCCTCACCATACTCATCGTCATCACCATATGAGTCATAATCTTGATGGTCGGGTATGGTCTGTAAGATACTAAGTCTGTGAGACCTAGTGTCATCAGCATGTGAGCTACCAACACCGTGCCCATTACTACTCCCCCGCAGTGCACCAACACCACCAACAACATGACTAGATTGTATTCTACTACCACCACTACCATGACTAGACTGTGTCTCCTTGTTACAACTACCAGGACTAGACTGTGTCTTGTTACATTTGCCACTAGTAACAACATGTGATTGTTTCCCCTTACCACTACCTCTCCCTTGGCCACTCCCTCTGTCACTTCCTCTCCCTCTGTCACTGCCTCTCCCTTGACGAGAATCCGCACGATACTCGGAACGACCCATATACCTACATGTATTTAACAAAATAATTGTGGTCATTAAATAATTTAAAGTGGATAACAAGTTTAAGTGAACATACTCTATAATGGAAATAATATAATGACAATAAATTAAAGTAGACATACCATATGATAGATAGCAAATAGTTTAAAGTGTATAACAACAAACAATACCCTAATCATCAGAAGAGTGGTCAGATAAATCAAGGTCGTCTTCATCATCTTCTATATCTTCAAACTCTTGATATTCTTCTTCTTCATCACCATTCATTTCTTTATTTGGATCAGTATCGTCAACTTCTATGAATTCTTCACCTCTGACTAGGCACATAGGTTCATTATTACTTACTTCATTTGAATAATCAAACCGTTCATCAGTTTGAAAGAACTGTTCTCCTTCCATTTCTTCATTGTCCGCAACTTCAGGTACAGAGTGGCCGATTTCATACATCCCTCTTGGTTTTGTCTTGACAACAGCCCACCATAACTTTAAATTCTTTTTCATAGAGGGGTATGGTGTATAATACACTTGTTCCACTTGTGATGCCAAGACAAATGGATCGTCGGTTTGAATTCGAGACGTAGGTTTTATATCAACCAACTTATGTTTGTTAACTTTTATTCCGTGTACATTATCAAACCAAGTACATTTGTATAATACAACAACACAACGCCCACTGCCACGATAATCAAGCTCTAGTACCTCATCTAAAAATCCGTAGTAGTCGCACTCTGGTTGGTTATAAGTCGTCCCCCTCACACATACTCCACAGTTATTTGTCACACGTCCATCACCATGGCTACGTGTGTGAAACTTATAGCCATTCACAAAGTACCCTTTATGCGATAGAGCATATTGCGTTGGTCACATTGCAAGAACTTCCAAATGTTTAGTACTATCATCTGAATCAATCATTACCTACATTGAGGAATACATATTAATGGTGTTGGCTAATGTTTAAATAATATTAATCGGTATGATTTAATCCATTTAACTTACATGATGTTGGAACCAGTCGGCAAAGAGACGATCTCTAAGACTCTCAAGAGGCTCACTAGGATAATGCTCAAGCACCCAATTGTCAAACATGTGGATGTAAGGGTAAACTTCTCGACAATTTAAGAGGATATACGTGTGAGCCTTGTGAAGTTCTGCATCGCCTATGCGTGTTCGAATCCCACCTTTTTCATATAATCTCCGAGATAGAAAAACAAACACACTTAATTGAGTGTCTATATTTGAAGAGCTAGGATGTTCTGGTGCGAAATTCCGGGCTTCTATGTTATGGCGTGTCTCAATCGTGGGCTCAAAGTATAAAGAACAGTAGGCAGAGAGTTCATTCACTAGATATGACTCGACGATTGAACCCTCAACCTTTGCTTTGTTTCTAATTGTTCTTTTTAGCAATCCCAACTTCCTACATTTAGAGATTACTGGGATTGTGTTAAGGATACAAAGCAGATTATTGAAAAACATATAAAACTATAAAGAATGTTATTACCTCTCGAATAGATACATCCATCTATACTGCACTGGGCCACCAATTATAGCCTCATGGACTAAATGTATGACCAAGTGTTCCATAGAATCAAAGAAATTAGGGGGAAATATTTTTTCCAACTTGCAAACGGTTTGAACAATAGTTTGCTACATTTTATCCAAGTCATCTAAATGTAATGTTTTCGAGAATATAACCCGAAAGAACGTGCAAATCTCTGTTATGGCGTCATATACCTCTTCAAAAACAAAGCCTCTTATAGCAATTGGAAGCAACCGTTGCATAAACACATGACAATCATGACTTTTGAAAGCATAAAAACTATCATCTTCAGTATTTACACAGTTCCCTATGTTTGAAGCATACCCATCAGGAAATTTGATACTCTTTAACCATTCACAGACTTTGTGTACTTCATTAGTCCTCCCTTTTCTTTTCAAAGTGTAAGCTGTCTTTTTATTATATGTATATTTCCCATTGTTTAACATCTGACAATTTAATGAATGTCGGTTACATATAAGAACAATGTTTTTTCTCGCATTTAAATTGTCTTTGGATTTTGGGGTGTCCATAACTATGTGAAACATGTTCTCAAAAAAGTTTCTTTCAATGTGCATCGGATCGAGGTTGTGGCGAATCAACAATTTACGCCAATACGGCAACTCCCAAAATATGTTTCGCTTTACCCAATTATGTGTAACTCCAAAGCCGGGAGGTTTTTCGTTTTTTGGATGAAAGGGAACACCTTCGTAAACGGTGGGAAGGTGACGGACTTGCTCCCAAATTTCATCTCCGCTCGGATATGGAATAGGCCTTATAACTGTCTCCTTTTTGTTTGCCCGGAAATTATTCACATCTTTCCAAAAACTATGTTTGATAGGTAGATGTTTTCTATGACAATCAAACCAGCACGGTTTACTTCCATATTTA